TGCAATAACAAAAATATAAAAGACACCAAGATTTTAACGAGGTTCCTCAACAGTCAGTGTAACTGAAGTACGTCCTCGAAGCATAGGAGCTCACCCAATAATCCACTATCAACTAATTGGGAGTTTACAAAGTGTTGGCAATCTCACAACCCAAATAACCCAATACACCCAATAGCTCTCACACACCACAAAAACAAATAGAGAAAGAAATATAATGAATAATTTCTTCTCTATACATGTAGCTCAAAGCTATTACAACAACAACTACTTTGGTGGATGATTACTAACCAAATGAAGCAGCAGCTTCTTCTTCCTTTTGGGCTCTCTGCAAGTCTCCCTACTCTCTGCAGAAAAATGAGCTCTCACTTCTCTCTTATTTTCCATCCGAAGAAAACCAATAATTATGGCTTTGAAAAAGCCACAAAACAAGGAAACATAATCATGATGCCTCATCATCATGATGTTCCCTCATCATTTTGTCTTTCATTCTTTTGTTTTGTTTAATAGTCGAAAGTGGATGCCAAGTTGGTCACTAATTTGGCCACTATCCAACAATCTCCACCTTGGCCAAATTCCAAAATCACCATGATAAGCCAACCAACACAAAAACACTCCCAAACACTAGCAAGAGAACAACTCATGCCAAGCCAAATGCTCCAAAACTCATACTGCTCATCACCTTCTTTATATAGGCAAAATGTGAGCCAAGTTCAAGCAATGAACAAACTTGGCTACACCAACAACCTTAGTCAACATATCAGCGGGGTTGTCTTTAGTTGGAATCTTCTGGAGAATGATTTCTCCTTCACCAGCAACTTCACGAACAAAGTGATAACGCATATCTATGTGCTTGGTCCTCGCATGGTGAACCTGATACTTAGCCAAATAAATGGCACTCGTCACTATCACAATGCACCTCCACCTGCTTCTGATCAACCCCTAAATCTCTAATCAGCCCATGTATCCAAATGGCCTCCTTTATAGCTTCAGCAACTGCCATATATTCAGCCTCTGTAGTAGACAAGGCAACAGACGACTGCAAAATGGACCTCCAACAAACTGGCCCTTTAGCCATAGTAAACACATAGCCTGTAGTAGACTTCCTTCCATCCAGATCACCTGCATAATCTGAATCAACATAACCAACTGCAAAATGACCAATACCAGAGTCACCTCTCTCAAAGCATAAACCAACATCTCGAGTACCATGGAGATACCTCAATATCCACTTAGCTGCTTGCCAATGCTCTTTACCTGAATTATGCATATATCGACTCACCATGCCAACTGCATGATGAGCAATATTCGGTCTAGAGCATACCATTGCATACATCAAACTACCAACCAAATTTGCATATGGCATATTTTTCATTTGCAGCTTCTCTTTATCAGTTTTAAGACATTGTAGAGAACTCAATTTAAAATGAGGAGCCAATGGGGTATTAACCGGTTTGGTTGAATCATGAACTCCAAACTTCCGAATCAACTTCTCAAGGTATTGTCTTTGATTCAAACTGACCAAACCCTTCGCTCTATCTCTAGTGATCTCCATACCAAAGATCTTCTTCGCTTCATCAAGATCCTTCATCTCAAACTCATTCTTCATTTGCTTCTTCAAATTTTCAATATCTTCAACATTCTTTAAGGCAATCAACATATCATCAACATATATCAACAAATAAATGAAAGACCCATCTTGCAACTTCTTGAAGTACATATAATCATATTGACTTCTAGAATAATTTTGGCCTCTCATAAATTTATCAAACCTCAAATACCATTGCCTTGGAGATTGCTTCAAGCCATAAAGTGATTTCTTCAATTTGCAAAACAAATTCTCATTCCCTTTCACTATATACCCATCCGGTTAACACATATAAATCTCTTCATTCAAATCACCATGTAGGAAAGCTGTCTTCACATCAAGTTGCACAAGCTCAAGATCATACTGTGCAATAAGAGCTAACATAATGCGAATTGAGAAGTGCTTCACAACTGGAGAAAAGATTTCATTGTAGTCAATGCCCTTCTTTTGTGCATGCCCTTTAGAAACTAATCTTGCTTTAAATCTCACATTGCTTTTCTCATCAGCATATTCCTTCTTGGCATAGACCCATTTGCAACCGATAGCTTTCTTGCCCTTAGGCAATTTAGCTAACTCCCAAGTCTTGTTCTTCAAGAGAGAATTCATCTCATCACCCATGGCATTGCACCACCTCTCATTTTCTTCACTCTCAATAGCTTCCTCAAAATTGGATGGAATCTCATCAGTGATAATAGGAAGAGCAAAAGAAACATAGTCACTATACCAAGCTGGCTTGGTAATTTGTCTATTTCCTCTGTTCTTGGCAATAGACTCTTGAGGTGAAACTTCCTCTTCAACTTGAATAGAATATTCAAGTTCAACTTCTTCAACATCCTCATGGTCTCCAACTTCTTTACTTGTAATGGCTTCGACATCAGCGGAAATAGGATTTGAAGTACCAGAGGCAACTTTCTCAAGCTCTACCTGTTGGACATCTTTCACATTCTTCTCAGAGTCTTTGAATATACTTTCTTCATCAAATGTCACATCTTTACTGATTACAAGTTTCTTCGTCTCTGGGCACCACAACCTGTAACCTTTGACACCACTACTAAAACCAAGAAAGATAGCATTTTTTGGCTCTAGGATCAAGTTTATTTTCAGTTACATGAAAATAAGCAGGTGAACCAAAAATACGAATATGATCATAATCAAAAGAAGGTTTTCCAGTCCATACCTCAATTGGTGTCTTACCCTGAATAGCAGCTGAGGGTAACCGGTTGATGATGTGACATGCATAAGTAACTGCCTCTACCCAAAACGACTTGCTCAAACCCGACTGAGACAACATGCATCTAACCTTTTCAAGCAAGGTTCGATTCAATCTTTCTGCAACTCCATTTTGTTGTGGAGTTCCCTTGACACTGAAATGTCTTACAATCCCTTTTTCTTTGTAAACTTTCAAGAAGGGGTCAGATGTGTATTCACCACCATTATCCAATCTCAAAATCTTAATCTTTCTCCTAGTCTAGTTCTCAACCATTTTCTTCCAACCCAAGAAAATGTTTAATACCTCACTCTTGTGCTTCATAGTGTAGACCCAAGACCTTCTTGAATAATCATCAACAAAGGTCACGAACCAATGTCTACCACTAAAAGAGGAAGTCTTTGTAGGACCCCAAACATCCGAATGCACATAATCAAGAATGCCCTTCGTCTGATGTACAGCAGTACCAAACTTCACTCTAGTTTGCTTCCCCAAGACACAATGCTCGCAAAAATCAAGCTTACAAGTCATGGCACCTTTTAGAAGACCTTGTTTCACAAGCCCTTGTAGAGCTTTCTCACCGGCATGGCCTAATCTCATATGCCACAGTCTAGTAGTATCAGAATCGGATGTGCCCATATTTTCTGAGACTACAGATGCTTCACTTGTCACAGTGCTTCCTTGCAATAAATACAAATTGCCACATCGAGGAGCTTTCATCACAACAAGTGCACCATAAGTAACTTTCAATGTCTGTCCATCTGAATGAAACCTGAAGCCCTTGGATTCCAAAGTACCCAAAGAAATAAGATTTTTCTTCAAATTCGGTACATACCGAACACCTGTCAACTTTTTAACCATGCCATCATGCAACTTCAAACAAACTGTACCAATCCCTTTTGTTGTGCAAGGATTGTCATCTCCCATGAACACAACGCCACCATCAAACTCTTTCAAGCTTGAAAACCAATCCTTGTGAGGAGTCATATGATGAGTACAACCCGTATCTAACACCCACTTAGTAGCACAATCAAATGATGAAGAAGTGGTTAAAGCAAAATCAGAAACATCTGTTTCAACCTCAGCAACATTAGCTTCAGAACTTTCTTTGCCTTTGGTCTTCAATCTGGGACAATCTTTCTTCCAATGACCCTTATTACGACAAAAGGCACATTCATCCATTTCCAAAGGTTTTCTACCTTTAGAGTTTCCTCTAGGTCGAGACTGTGATTTTTTCCTACTAGAAGATGATCTTCTCTCCGATGATCTACCTCTAACAAATAAAGCTTCAGAGGTACTATCATGATTTTTATCTCTATGCCTCATTTCATAATTCATTAAGGCATTTGACACATCTTCAAATTTTACAGTTTATTTACCATGCATAATAGTGGGCTTTTTTTTTTTTTTTTTTTTCAACTGTAACAACTACCAACTCTTTCTGTTCCCATATTTGACTGATTATGTCAATGTCCGTCGGTTTTCGGAGATGGCCTTATTAATACCGAGTTTCATTTTCAATTTTTTTTGGATGATTCACAGGGTCGAGATCACGATCAAACGTACAAACCTCAAATCAATATTTGAGGTGATCGTGTAAAGGTGGGGATTGAGGATTTTCTGTATCAGGTCGGATCGAGGTACAAAAAATGGATGCCTTAAGCAGTTACCTTCACTCCCACCATGTGAAACATGGTGATGAAAGAGTTTGCATATCTCAGCAGGCAACTGCTTCTAGCGGCGCCATTTGTGGGGAAGATAATCCTCTAGATATATTATCCATATTCTCTGATGATGGCTCAAATCATCCTCATCGTCATCACCTCTCGGGTGCTTTATTATTTTCTTAGGCCGTCTGGACAAACCAAATTTGTCTGCAATCTACTGGTATGGCCATCAAGCTCCCATGCCACTAATAAACTATCATGTCTCAATTAGCGTAATCTAATTTGAAGTTTTTTTCCGGGGTGTAATTTTTCAATTTTTTATCCTTGTTACAAATTTAATTTGATCCACCATTTTTTCCCTCATTTTTTCGGGGTGGTATTATATGGGGTCCCTCTCTTTTGGGGCACCATAAGGCATTTAAGGACAAACTAGTATTCAAAGGAAGAGAGTTTCCATTGGTTGACACAGTAGCTGCGCGGGGCGCAATAAATTCCACCTTCCTAATTACATTGAAAATTGACCTAGCCATGGTTAGGACACAAGAGAATGCCTGGAAGATTGGTCTAGCAGGCTTCCTTTTTCCAAGCGCTGTTACCTCAAGCCTCGTCTACCCGCTAGCCCGATCCATTCCAGGACTCACAGGAGGGATACTCTTTCTTTTCTTTACTACATTTTCTTTATCCTTCACTTATTTTCCTACCGTGGCTGAGGCCTTGGATGAACTCAACCTCATGACTTCCGAGTTAGGGCAACTCGCCTTGTCTTCTGCCATGCTCAACGATGTGATGCAATGGTTCTTCATGGCAATACGTTACATATACAGCCACGGAATCGAGGCCTTGGTTTCCTTTGTTGGCATTGCTGTCCTTCACTATCTATGTCATACGGCCGACTATACTTTCAATTATCAAGAAAATACCCAAAGGAAAAGAAGTGAGTGAAAGTTATGTGGTTGCAATACAACTTGGAGTTCTAGTCATGGCATTTATCACCGACGCCTTAGGCACAAAGCCTACTACGGGTGCTATAATTCTAGGGTTAGTCATACCAAATCGACCACCTCTTGGTACAGCATTGATAAAAAAGACAGAATTCATGGTCTCCGAATTTCTTCTCCCGGTGTTCTTCTTTTGTGCAGGCCTCAGTGTGAATGTGTATTCGATTCACGATTGGGAAAGTTTCAGCAAACTTCAAGTCTTGATTGTTGAATCCTATGTCACAAAATTTTTGGGAGTTACATTGGCTGCAATGTGCTGCAAAATTAAGTTCAAACATAGTCTGTTGCTCAGCATGATCATGAGCATCAAGGGTTTAATAGAACCTTCCATTTACAGTCGCTGGAGGGTCCTTAAGGTATCCTACTCTTTCTTATATCTTTTTCCTCCTTCTCTTTGATACCCCACCAACTTAAGGAGCGTAATAATTTTCTTGTAACGAGTACTAATTTACAGTATCTGCTACATTGCCGGTCATATTATAGACAATGTAACAAATACTACAATTGATACTCATGGACAACCTGTCCTTTTTAAGGGACCAGTAGATGTTGTTGACGAAAAAACTTAGAGTACACAACTCTAACACAAGTGTTGGAGAGACAACATAAGTAAACAAATTACTTGTATTATACACACAAAATATTACAACACTCACAAGGACACAACTTTAGAAGCAATGACACTCACTCACTTTCTAGAGACACACTCTTGATTACTCACACTCCTACAAGACTATTCTTGCTTCTCACTCTCACTTGGTTGCCTTCTTGATTGGTTGGTTACATACACACACCTATTTATAGGCATGTTTGCCGACTTCACTAGCACTTTCTAGTGCATGTTCATGCACACACTGCACCGACATATGGCTTTTCATAATAGCCACATTGTACAAGCTGCTAAAACTTTCTAGCACATGATTATACACACCCACCCACCGACTTTCCCTTTGCCCACCGACATGGGCATTACACAATGGCCACACAATTGTACAAATAGCTAGATCTTTCTAACTAGTGATCATGCACTGCCACCGACCTGCTTTCCTAATTGGCCTTATGTTTTCCTAGTTTCTAGTACATTCTAATTACAAACAAACATACTTAATCATGGCTAGAAACGTCTAGCACATTTGCATACACCGACCACCTTTAGAATTGCTTGCTAGAATCTTCTAGAATCCAAACATCAATTGGGCTGGTGTTGATTTTCAACAGATGTAAACGCCATATTTACAATCCATTGTTTTGGGTTCCTAATTGATATTAATTGCAGCAAATGGATCAACAATCTTATACTCAAATCATCTTGTCTTCGCTGGGTCTGACCATGGCCATAGCACCATTTATACGATTCTCGTGCATACTTCATGTACACCTCAGACAATCAAGTAGCATACACGACTGCATTAGAAATATTCAATCATTACTGGCAAGCAACTCGGAAACATTTCAAATCCTTCGCTGTGTCCACAACGAAGAAAGTGTACGCAACATGATCACCCTCCTAGAGGCGTCAAACCCAACAGAAGCAAGCCCGATTTGTGCCTACATTTTCCATGCAGTCGAGCTCACTGTCAGCGCAGCACCACTACTAGTCCGTCACACGAAACAGAAGAAGAAATTTACAAACACAAGTGTACCCACGAATGTTCATATAATGCGAGCCTTTGAGAATTACTCGAAAAATTCGAAAGGGCCGGTTGTAATTGAAGCCTTCACTATGACCGCCCCCTATATAAGCATGCATGAGACGATTTGCCATGAAGCCAATGACAAGAAAGTTCCTCTAATTATCATACCATTCCATGAAAACCACAAGGATGTGATTGCTCCCAACTGTCCGACTAAGGCAATACGCCAGTTCAACATTAACGTACAATCATATGCTCCATGTACAGTTGGGATACTAGTTGATAGAAGCCTGTCTTGTCGGCTGAGCTTGAATCACTTCTCTTACAATGTTGCGGTGTTTTTCATTGGCGGGCCTGATGATCGCGAGGCATTAGCTTACTCAGCACGCATGCCGGGTAATACCAAAGTTTCCATCTCGGTGTTCAGGTTTACTTTGGCGGAGACAGTAATAGAAGAAGAGCAGCTGAAAGAAACGAAGCTCGACCAGGCTTTGGTTGACGAGTTTAAGCTAAGCAACATTGGGAATGATCACTTGAATTGGCATGAAATGGAGGTGGCTGACGGCGTGCAGCTTATGGATGCCATTAGGCAGTCACATGGCGATTACGACCTTGTGATGGTGGGACGGAGACACTTGGAAATGTCACCAAGGAATGAAGAAACGGTAGATTTTATGGAGAACGCGGAGCTGGGAGCGATCGGCGACATGCTTGCTTCCTCAGATTTTTGTGGTGGAATGGTAAATGTGTTGGTGATGCAAGAAAGTAGGGAATTCGTACTTCGAACCGCTTTGATGAAAAATTTAACGAGGTATTATAAGTTGACATACATTGCAAAACCAGCTTGCAGGGGACAAACTAGCTAGTCACTTGATAGAGTGGGTTTCGCAGGATCTATAGGATGCGAAGACCTCAAGTACTACTTAGACCATAGGCTAGCTAGCTTAGGAGAATCAAATATCGGCCAGCTAGTAAATTTTCAATTTTAGTGTAATTTTGCAGACTTTGGATTTTGATGATGAATATTCCAAGCCATAAGTTTTGCGCTATGCCTTCTAAATTCAGGAAAAGAAAGTGTCATTAAATAAAATACTAAAAACTCCAGTTTCATTTTTATTATTGAAACTTTCATTTTCCTAAATTTTTGTACATACATACGTGTTTAATGATTGATGTGTACACAAAAAAAATTTAAAAATTAATAAAAATTAAAAAAAAATTTACTTTAAAAAAAAAAAATTTAATGTCCACATGACGCCAGATTGGCACGGGGCACCCATTCATTGTCTTTGTCAGCACCACATCATCATTTAACGGCGATTCTGAAGAAAAATTTAACAAATGAATGAAAGTATCGCAGAATTATGACATTACTCCAATTCCATTTTTATTATTGAAACTTTCATTTTCCTAAATTTATGTATAAAAGGAAATTACTTATGTTCGCATTTAATGATTGATGTATACACAAAAATGCATGCATAAGAAAATATGTATAAGAAGGTGTTTGAATTAATATTTAACATTGGGCTTTATGAAATAAGGCCCAAGGGTGTCACAGCAAAATGAGGACTTGCCTTAAGCCCAGCAAAGAGGCTTGAAGCAAATTGAAGCCTTTTCAGCCAAGGCATAGGCCATGTGCCTAAGGATGAAGTGACAGATGACAAAGATCAACTCACCACCAGCCAAAAAACACTTTCTAATGGCATTACAAGTAAATAGATGATGACTCACTACCCTCTGAGAGCCCTCGGCCAAGAGTAAAACTAAAGCAGTCGGGCCAAATTGTCTATAAAAGGAGAAAGAGACAGAGACAAGGACACTCAAACAACCAATCAATCAACATACAAACACTGCTCTCAAGCCAATTCCACCTAGAAAGCTTAAACTTGTCCATATTCAGTCCTTTTTAGCTATATTCCCCTTAGAAAAGCCATCTTTTGTCTACTATAAAAGCTCTGCTACATTCCCTTAGTGTTGTAGTATCGATTCCCTCGTGTAAAACCTATTTAGCATCCATCCTTTTTAGCATATAACATCTGTAAACCCAAAGAAAAGTGGCTGCAAGAAGTTCAACTTTGTCCGACAAAGTTAAATTTTGCCCAAGTCTCTTTATTTATACTTTAATTTAGTAGATATTTCGCTTAATGAACTTTTCAGTATGTATTCAAGTTGTTTCCACCTTTTTTCTACCTAAGAGCCCCATTTGCATTCGAATATGGTTAAGTTAATGGATCTACCTTCATTAAAGTGAACTGTAATCGAGGAAATAGTAGTAAAGGGGCCTGAACTCCCTTTGTTTTGGGTGTACAAGATTATGAACTAAAAGTCCTTGTTTACGAGGCAAGAAAAAGAACTTAATGTAGACTTAACACATCTGTGACAATCCTTTGATAACAAGAAGTTTAAGTAACTTGGGGCGCAAATAATCAACTTAAATCACATTTGTTCAACATCTGTTATACTAAGATAGCAGTGGCACGCCAAGATCCTTGTTAGTTTTGATTGTGAACCTCAAGGCCTACACCTAAGGCCCCACAAAGGCACCTGTCAAAACTAACTACTAACGTATCTTGCAGTACACTAAGTAAGAGCAAGCCGGACAACACACCAAGTGCCAAACCCCTGGGGAGCTGTGCGAGGGGAAATCCTTTAGGAATTGGATCATCTCCTGAGCAGGAGATCAGTATCTTCCTGACCCACTAACACGGGGCATTGAATTTTGATTCAACGGCTACAAACATTGAACTCCTCTAAAAGTTATAATAATTGTAACCGTTGGATCAAAATTCAACGGTCCGTGTTAGTAGGTCAGGAGGATCCTGATCTCCTGCTCATGAGAGGATCCAATTCCAACCCTTTAGCCCGAACAGAAGGCTCATGACTTTGCGTACACGAAAATTACATATATACGTGTTCAACGAGAAGAGTATCCTCTTAATTCCGAGATTGTTTCTGTGCATTGGGCATAAGAAAAAATCCAGCCCATAAGTCTTTGGAGAAAATTTTTGCAATGGATCTTTTCTTCCTTTTGTTGTTAAAACTTTTTAGTGTCTACCATTATGCCTTTTTTTCGGCCTTTATCTAGTTTGGCAAGAATGTTGTGACCGTTAGGAAATTTAGAAATTGTTGCCTAATCAAGGGTTTGGAGTTTCTTGTAAAAAATGACCTTGTTTTTTACTTGCAGCTAGTATTTCTTCTTCCCTGTGGTTTTTTATTTATATAGTTGTAACCACATTTAACTATTTATCAATAAGTTGATTTAACTAATTATCAATAAGTTGTTTATTTATACGTGTGTTTCTTTAAAAACGACGCTTAATAAATTATATGAACACGTATTGAATTTTTTTTAAGTGTGACGGTCATATTATTATGTATTGTTACTGATTCACATTTTATAACACACGTTAATTGGTAACCGTCATACTGAAAAACTTCTCCACAGACGATGAATAGTGGTTGAAAATTGCCCTTGCTTGCAATATTTAGTTTGTTGGGTGTGATTTTTAAAGCTCTCACTTGAGCGTCCACATCAGTAAAACAGAGGAATAACAAGAAAAAGATGATTTCATTAAACCATAAGATTTCTTTAACACGTTGCTTAAAAGTACAAAACAATCTATGAATCAATGAAAGCATGTCTATCTATGACTAAATCAGATGGTGAGCTCAGTTTTTGAAATCCTAGCACCACATCCTCTACATCGGCTTTGATGTATAAAAAAAGAACAATAAAACAGAGCAAGAACTAGGCCCCCAAATGCAGGGGAACTCAAGACAACAATGTAAAATCATACAACTGAAATAAGGGAAAAATGAAAACCCGGTAACCGGGTTTTTACAAAAGTTGCTGTGGATACAATCTTAAGATTCTTAACACACAGGCAGATCCGCCGGTGGTGGCTCGATCGTTTGCAGTTCCCCAACTCCATTGTCCACCAAGAACACCATGGCCAAACCCCAGTTGATGTGAACATCCAAGTGACAATGCATTATCCATGCACCTGCATATATCAAACGTATTTGACAAAAAAAAAAACATATATTAAACTTATAAGTATAAACAAATCCTAGAAACGTTGCTATGAGTTTGAATAGTTTAGAATAGAATATCGTCTTGTGAAAGAAAAATAATTTGAAATTGTTACCTGGATTGTCAGCGACGAATCGGATAACTGCCCATCCATTCGCAGGCACTGCCACTGTGTTCCTCATAGGTGGATCAACAAGGTTGAACTTTTTGGTATCGGTCTTGGCATTGAAATTTCCAAAACCTTCGGCAAGGATGTAAAAATCGTATCCGTGAAGATGGATAGGATGGTTTTCGGGTGTGACGATGCTTGTGTCCTGCAGCACAACCTGCACCCTTGATCCATACTTCAAGTTGTATCCTCTAGTGCCCGACAAAGGCTGCCATAGAGAACTGCTCACATTGCCCGTGTAGTCGAATTTCTTCGGAGGGTTTGCTGGAAAATCATTGGTGAAAACTCCAGGGATGTTTTGTTGGTAAGCCTGAAGGATTGACATGTTATTTGGAAGCACGAAGGACACATTGTTCATGCTGGCAGTGAAGCGTGTCCCGTTTGGGCCTTGGCACCTTCTGGCTCTGAAATGTTTAGGGCAATTGTTGAGTCCAAGACCGATAGTGAAGAAGAGGTTTTCGTCGATTTCAGTTGGGACTTCAACTTTTCTTGGACTTCTGAAACTCTTGGTGAAAGCAGAAGCAGTGTTTGTGTCATTGAAAGCAGGGAGTTGTGGCATAATCGGTTTAGCTGTTGGACCGTTTTTGCAACTAGGGCTGCAAGGGGCAGACTTGTATTCAAGAATGGCGGTGGTGGTGGTGTTGCCGAATGCTGCATTTTGCGCGCTGAAATAAGCACTTGCCGCCAAGTAGTACCGGGCCGGTGGCTGGTCACCCGTGATTAAAACATCGGTGGTCTGCCCAGGGCCTAGCATGAGTACCGTGGTAGTGAAAGGTTTGGTATAGGAGGCATCAGCACTAACAACAGTGAGTTTGTGGTTGGCCACAGAGAAGAAAAGAGGTTGGTTGAGGCCAGCATTGATGACTCTAAGAAGGTTGGTCTCGCCGGAGTCTATAGGAACTATGACAGTGTCTGCAAAAATCACAATAAAAATTTATCAATTCATAAGTGGTACATACGACTTACTTATTACATCAATTATTAGGGTCAGTTTAACTTAGTTGATTATTGCACGTAAAACTTTTATTGTGGAATTACCTTTGCTTGAGCAATTGTAAAGATCACCAGGTTGACCATTGATGGTGTATGCATCAGAAACATTTGGAGCTCCTCCTGTCCTAGTAGCCTGCCTTATAACATCGATAGGGTTAGCGTCCCACCATTCACCGAGAAGAAGGGTTGTTTCGCGTTTCGGTTTAGTGAAGGGGTAGGAGTCTCCTTGTTTAGGATGAATGATGAGTGCGCCGTAAACGGTGGCTCTAAGCCATGAGCTGTGAGCATGCCACCAGAGAGTACCTTCTTGCCCTTGAATTGTAAATCGGTAGGTATAGCTTCCTCCTGGCCTAATCGGGCACTGAGTCACAAATTCAGGCCCATCTGCCCATCCAGTTCTAATCTGCCTAATCCCATGCCTGAAATGAAGAAGATAAGGCATGTTGATTAATTTCTTCGGAGAAATGAAGAAGATAAAGATTCTCTTGCGAGCCTTTCTGACAACATAAGAAGCATGAGAGTAAAAACTCGTATTCATGTGCATGCACGCAGGCGTGTTAGTTACCAGTGAATAGTGACATTGTATCGAGCTTTGTTTGTAACTTTGATGAAAAGAGTGTCACCATTGTTTGCTTCCAAGGTTGGTCCAGGGTACTGTCCATTTACTGTGATGGAGTTGTGGGTTTTGCACAGCCTCTTCACTTTAGTTGCTTGAATCTGTATTCCATTTAAATATTAAATATAGTGAGAAATGAGTACGTAAGAAGAAGAAACGTACGTGAAATACAAGAGATGTAAAAATTAAACTTACAACAAACTCATGCTGGTGAGTTTTGGGCTCTGCCGAACACATTGTCGATGAAGCCAATAGAAGGCAAAGGCCGAAAAGGCATAAGGAGAGTCGGATTTTGTTGCTGAAAATGGCGTTGAGTGCCTCCATCTCGATGGATTAGCTAGGCTATGAGCTCGCTGATGAACCCTTAACCTTTGAATGATCGAGAGAATGTGGTAGTTTGAGGTGATAAAGTGGGGGGATGCTTTTATAGTAAAACTTTGAGGAGAGAGGCTGGCAGATTAGGTTTTGATTCAAAAAATGGTCAGAGCCTTGAGCAAACTTACTTCAACCCGGTAAGAGTTGTTGCACCCACTGGCCTATCTCTAATGCATTATGTCTCAATGCAGCTTGCTTCTCAAGTCTTCTTTCTGGGATTGAATAATTCAATAAGAGTAATATTAGAGAGATTAAATTTGTAGATAAAGTTTTGAAAACTAAAGGATATGGAAGTTGATGATTGATTTATTATTTACACGTTGATAAACATGTTTATTCTTATTGGTGACATGTTATTTAGTTTACAAATTTAATTAGTCTTTCAAATTTGATCTCCCTAACATTACCCATTAATATTGGTTTTTTTTTTCATATATGTTAATGCAACTAGAAAAAGCGTAAAGTTAATCCTACTTTTTTCCCCAAACGTAAGGACAATCGTAATGATGAAGAAGACCAAAATTAAATTAGAAACATACTTATAAGTCAAACCCATTGTTCTAATCAACCTTAAACCCTCAAGCAATCCTTTGATAAAACGACATTAGTATAGTGATTTTATGTGGCATCACGCAAATGGAGCTAGCACTCAGATTCAAGCACATAATGAATCATTATGCTGAACACATGATGAATCAAGATAATTAAATCGATATTTTTGGTCTCTCCTTTGGCTAGCTAAAATTATTTTCGTTTCTAAAAAGGTAAGGTTTATGTTTCCTTTCTATTTTCAAGCATTTTTTAAATTTTTTTTCTTTTAATATGAATGGTTAGGTTTATTTACTAAATAACATCGAGGTTTTCTGAAAAAAAAAACGATGGAGGTTAGAAGAATCAAGAGGGAAAGAGTTTACCGACTAAAAATATTTGCATGAATTCGTCAAACCAGCTTTTTCCTTCCTAATGTGGTATGGGAAATCAATAAGCAATCTGCCTAAAGTCCATGCTTTAGAGAAAAGTGGAAAAGTAAATTAGCTTGAGAAAACTAAGTCGGAAATATGGTTGTTCTTTTCATTGTTTTCAAATATTAATTTTTCATAAAAATTACAGTTTACCCATGTTTCATTTGATGATGATGTTGTGATATAATAGGTTTTGTCATATTTTATCATTTCATAAATATATGAATTATTATGCTCACGTTTGTTAAAAGGGAGTTTTAACGAACCATAGATTCAATCGAAATCAAAACCTCAAGTAAGGTTACTTAATAAACTCATCATAAAATCAACATTCAGAAGTAATTAATTGAATTAATTATATTTTTCAATATCTATGATTACACTAACACCACAAAAAAAAAAATGTTAAAGAAATTAAAAAGCCCACAAAGCCACAATGAGGTTGTACTAGGTCACGATCGATGATAAATTAGTTGGTTAGCTACAACAAGAAGAGATGATCGAGTGCAGGGAATTTGAGCTAGGGTTTATTAATTTATTATTAGTTAATTAATGTTAAAAGTGGACCACACAGGATCAAATCTCAAGTTTGCCGTTAATTTGATAGGAAAGATGAGTAGATTAAGTCATCTCTCTACAATTAGGTGGCATATGTTGCATGCGTTACAATACATCAAGATTTGATTGGGTCTAACAAAAATTCAGTTAGAGTGATGGATACTTAAACAGAAAATTTAATATATATTTACAAGAATTCTGTTTAAATTAGGTAGCCTATCACACAGCAGAACGCGCGCAGGGAAGGTATTATCCATGTAATTAATGTTTGTATTAGGTTTTGTAGCTATATACGAAGAGAATGAAAGGTCAAAGACCAGCTAGTGGCTTTGCCATGGCGTCCACGCTTCCAATGGCCGGAAAAACTCACAAAGGCATTTCAGCTACCTCCTGGCCACCATTGCGTGATTCACCAACGCTAAAAATCGAACACAAGACATGCCATGTGAAACAAAATTTAGAGGAAGCTAGGAAGTGGCATCTTATATTATGTAATGTTAATTGATAATTAGGGTTTGTCTATTAGCCAAGATTGGAACCATAGCGCATCTCAAAATGAGAAGATATAGAGCAACGCCTAGTTTAGCTACAAAATTTTGATTTGTTTTGTTAACCTTAGTGCTTTTGTAGGCAAAAATGAAGACGTACGAAGATTATTTGTCCTATCATTGATTGTATCGAGACGTAAGAATATCTACCTTATCATTGATTGTATACATATTTGTGACTGTGAGTCCATCTCTCTTATTTACCAATCGATTGGTTGATATAGTATATGTATTAATACTTGTTAATAGAAAGAAAAAAAAAACTATGGTATAGCTATTGGTTTGATCCCAAATTAGGAAGCCTTAATGTTGTTTTGTTGTATTGTATGGTTGGTTATGTTACTTTGTATTAATGTACATCATTTTCTCAAACCAAATAGAAGCCACAACATACATGATGGAGGCCTTATCGACCATAAAACTTACGTACTCTGCAATGTTAGACAAATGTTTATCCTACACTCATCATTATGTGACGTGCAATTGGTCAACTGATGAGTTTTACACCAAATCACATGAAATATAAGTGTTGTAGAAACCCTAATGAACTAGTCACTCTCTTACAGATAAGTTGTCCCTTTACCGGCATAAGTGTTCAAAGAAGTACAACAGTACATGCAAAGTTTAAGTGATAATTAGATTGACAAAGCCAAACAGACCAGCTGATTACCTAATTACAGGCAGACAGATGGTGACAATTCTGTTAGTCATTTTGAATGGAAGCATGTCAGTGATGTGTACACACCAGAAACTAGATCAGAGAGCGAAATAAAGAATGGGGGGAGGTGTTGGATTGGATAGGTGAACAAATAGCAATTAACATATAGTTGGTAGAGTTTGTTATTGACTTCTATTTTCAGAATCTTCAGTTGACATCGGAAGTGCAATCGGAAGTCGTTATGAAGGATGCAAATACTTACAATAAAAATTGATTCACAATTTAATTATACTAGCCTCTTGCACGCAAGCTCTTTTACATCTTTTTTTTTTTTTTTAAATATTTAAGAAATAAAGGAAATAAAACTGCCTCTCCATGGAGCTTGTGACAATTTTTTTTTTTACATCTTATTCTCTACCTGCTTGTAATTTTTATTCTTTCTATTTGTTAAAAATATTTTTAAAAAGTAAAGAAATAAAGGAAAAATAACTACCTACTACGTAAGTAGTTTTGTTTTGTTAGTTTGTATTTTTTTTAAATTAAATTGTTTCATTTTAAAATCCTAATTAGGAGAGATAATTTTGGGGATTGTGAATAATTCATTATTTTTCCTTTACTTTATATATACTAGCATATGTGACACATCCCCGCCCGGGCAGGACCACTTCCTGAGCCCGACTCCATCGTAGCACGATATTGTCCGATTTGGGCCCCGACCACGTCCTCAAGGTTTTGTTTTTGGGAACTCACGCAAGAACTTCACAGTGGGTCACCCATCATGGGATTGCTATCGCGCGAACTCGCTTAACTTCGGAGTTCCGATGGAACCCAAAGCCAGTGAGCTCCCAAAAGACCTCGTGCTAGGTAGAGATGAGAATATACATATAAGGCTTACAAGATCCACTCTCTTGGGCGATGTGGGATGTTACAATCCACCCCCCTTAGGAGCCCGATGTCCTCATTGGCACACTTCCGGCCAGGGATTGGCTCTGATACCAAATTGACACATCCCGCCCGGGCAGGACCACATCCCGCCCGGGCAGGACCACTTCCCGGGCTCGACTCCACCGTAGCACGATATTGTCCATTTTGTACCCTGACCACGCCCTCACGGTTTTATTTCTGGGAACTCACACGAGAACTTCCCATTAGGTCACCCATCATGGGATTGTTTTCGCGCGAACTCGCTTAACTTCGGAGTTCTGATGGAACCCGAAGCCAGTGAGCTCCCAAAAAGCCTCGTGCTAGGTAGAGATGAGAATATACATATAAGACTTACATGATCCATTCCCTTGGGCGATGTGAGATGTTACAATCTTCATTTATCACAAGAGCCTTAAGTATATCTTCAATCAGCCAAACCTCAATCTCTGGCAGCGGAAGTGGGTAGAGTTATTCAGTGATTATGACTGCACCATTGAGTATCACCCAGGTCGTGCCAATTCGGTGGCTAATGCTCTTAGTAGGAAGTCTCATGGCCAACTTAATGCTGTTTATGCTAGTCGCATTCCTCTTTTGACTGACCTAAGATCCACTGGAGTAGCTTTGAAAGAGGGTCGTCGGGGGGCCCTAATTGCCAGTTTTCAGGTCAGGCTGGTTCTGTTGGATCGTGTTCTCGAAGCCCAGAGAAATGATACAAAATCTCAGGAATTGATACAAGCAATGTCAGACGGGAAAAAGAAGGACCTCTGGATTAGAGATCCTGACGGCATGCTTATGCAAGGTGAACGGATGTATGTACCGAATGTTAAGGAACTGAAGAGAGACATATTAGACGAAGCGCATATTTCTGCTTATGCGATGCATCCAATGAGCACCAAGATGTACCATACCATCCGACACTTCTATTATTAGCCAGGTATGAAAAGAGAGATTGCAAAGTATGTTAGCCGTTATGCAATTTGCCAGCAGGTTAAGGCAGAAAGGAAAAGGCTATTTGGATTGCTACAACCACTTCCGATACCTCAGTGGAAATGGGAAGATATTACAATGGATTTTGTGTACAAATTACCTCGTACGCGAAATGGTTACGATGGTATCTGGGTGGTAGTTGATCGGCTTACCAAGTCAGTGCACTTCATACTCGTTCGTGAAATTTTCTCGTTAAGTCAGTTGGCCGAACGGTTCGTCTCTGACTGGTTAGGTACCACGGAGTTCCAGTTAATATCATTTCTGACGGAGACCCTCGATTTACTTCGAAGTTCTGGGTAGCTTTTCAGGAAGCTTTGGGATCGAGACTACTCTACAGCACCGCCTATCATCCTCAAACAAATGGGCAGTCAGAGAGAACTATCCAGACCTTGG